TGTATTGCAGTTTACCAATCGTTAAATGTGATGGCTGCATTAGTTTGCTATCTTATATTTTTTACCATTTTTATTATTACCTGGTGATCCAGCCAGTGTTTGGATTGCTCCACTCTATAGAGGAGCAACAAAGTCACCTTTGGACAGCAACATTGCCACCCTGTGAAGAGGGTAGTGTTTGATGTACTACCAAATTTAGATGGATTTGACTAACAAATTAAATCCAAACTACAGCTAATACTTTTTATGCAGGTACAGCAACAGTTTTCTTTCTTTCTGTTAGGATAAAAGTTTTAAATAAATACATAAAAGCTAACCATTGTAAACACTACTGTCAATGTTAAATGGTTTGTCTCAACCCTGCCACTGTTGCTTTAACTTTTGTTTAAGTAGGTTCAAAAAATAAGACTCACTGGTCAGATCACCAGGTAAAAATAAAGGAAGAAAAGCCTTAACAAAAGAAAAGTAACCACCACATTTAATGATTGGTAAGCGGCAATATATTGCATTTTTGCTTTTGGGTTTAAATATGCTTTAAGTTATTTGTTCCAGTGGTTGCCTAGATACTTCAAGTCCACAAATAAAGCTAAGTTTCCTTAGCTTGTGTGACTTTTATTGTAGAGCTTCCTCTAGGTTCTAGTCCAGTACTATAGACAAGCAGGCATTGAAAAAACCTTTCCCAGTAAGTAAATAGGCTAACCTGCCTAAAACCCTAAATATGAACTCTTTTTACCATTTAGAAAAAAAAACAGTTGCAAATCTGCAAACATGTGAAGCCACAAGACTACCCCAAAGTTCCTTTAGAAACTCTAAAACCAAATTGGGACATAATTAGTGCTGAATAAATCAGGCTTACCATTCCCATCCTTCTTAAAGGAACAGAAATTGGCCAGATGTTCACACTTACCTAAGGCAGCTGAAGGCCCCCAGTATGTGTCGTACAACACAGTTACATACACTGATTCTGGCCATTGAGTATACACTGATTCTGGCCACTGATTATAATGTTGGACTCCATACCCCAGTCCAGATAATGGGCAAACCGGCCCATGCAGCTGGAAGGGCTCCTGTCCTTCAGCCTGAACTAATGCATTAATAGTATAGCAAATGGCAGCTTGGAGTGCAAAAGGATAGAACACTGTGCTAATGTAAGCAGGCCAGGCAGTGAAGACTGCTATTTGTCAACATTGAAGGAATGTGCATTCCTTTAAAAATCATGATTTTAGGGACACATTTTCTTTGGGATTTCCCAATTCTATCTGATAGACGATAGATAGATAGATAGATAGATAGATAGATAGATAGATAGATAGATAGATAGATAGATAGATAGGTAGCTAGATAGATAGATAAACTATCTATCTATCTATCTTCCATGTACCTGTCATATTTCTGTCTCAGAACCAAGTGTCATATTAGTAAAGAACTGGAAAAATTGAGGTCATAACTCCAACCTTGATTACTGCATAGTTGATAGCAAGATACAATAGGACGGCTGGATGCACTAGGTCATTCAGAGACAAATGCTGCTGTTAGAGTTCAGTGCAATGAGGGTAAATAATGAAAAAGATGGTGGCAGTCAGTATAAGCCTCAGGGAGACGCGGACAGAGGGCTGCATGTGTGTGGTAAATATGCCATGTCTGAGCTCAAGGCATGTCACCTGCTGGAGGGCTTCCCGCCTTACAAACACAGGTTGAGGTGCACGGGGAGTCCTCAAGGAATAACAGCTGATATCACAGATGGCAGATCACCTTTTTGGCAAGGGTTGAGGTGTGCAAATCAATTCCTTTAATTACTTGTCAAGTCCATTTTTAATAAGAGAGTTAAGGACCCTAAAAAAGAAAGACAAAATTGAAGGAATAAAAAGAAATGGCAAGACTCTCAAAACACAACAGTCTTGTGGAAGACATTGAAGCGCACAAGCCATGCTGTACAGATGAACTGAATGATAACTTTACAAAGTATTTATATCCATATAAATGTACCTAGAATGATAGCTATTAAAGTGCACTTGTACTTGAGAAAAGCAAAAAAATGATGTAGTATAGGCAGCAGCTTAGAATGCAAGAGCATAACTGCATTGTTATGATAGACCTCTTTAAAACACTAGTGTGGCCTCCTGAAGATTAACCATAATTCCAGTCAGAATTTGTATTGGCTTAAAAAGGCTCTCCTACCCTCAAAGCAGAAAGTTTCGCAATAGGTGTTATAGGTGATAGGCCGTTCAATGCTCCTATAGGTTATTCACTCCATAACCTGGATGTAAGGGTATTTTGGGAGACTTTAGTGATGTTGACTACAGAGTATAAATTCAGCATATTATTAGTCAGCTTCTCAGCTCTGAAGAAGGGGAAGTTCCCCGAAAATGCGTTTAGCTACTAGTAGCGAGACTCTGCAGCAGCAGAGCTCCTGGACATCTCATCCGTCTGCACAGCAGTTCATTGAGTGAGGACTTCAAGTCCAATGTGATATTGTTCTTGCTCTGTTTGTGAGTATAAAGTGCTTTTTATTATCATTTTCATCAAGAAAAGGATTATTGCACCAGGTCAGGCGCCCGGTGTTCTATTTTCTTTTTCATGCAGTTTTCTGGATCCCTTTTCTTTTACGGGGCGGCCGTGCTGGATTTCTATTACCTCTTTGGACCACAGGAGGGTTCCTTTGCTTGTGCATTTGGTGCTGGTCGTATAATTTTTTGGCTTGGGATGTTTTGAAGATGTCTATTCTAATGCTGCAACAACCTTAGGTTGTCTATTATACAATCTATATAGTTTTACTTTCCAATGTTTTTTTCAAATACTTATTTGCTGTAGTCATAAAATCCCTGATTTATATACAAGTAACATTAGTTTGTTTTTACCTTTTGATCTATTAAAGTCAGTCATTTCTGATTACAGGTGTTGCTTCAGCAGACCTGATAACCTGCTGTAACTATTTAGATATAACGGTGCTGTATTTGTCTATGTAGAACAAATGTGAACAGTTGTAGGTAGCCAATGTTGATGGGAGGTTGTGAGAGAAATGTTACAATATCACATCATATCAGGGTTGTTCATCTTCTTGAAAATCCCTTTCTTTTAGGCCCCTAGGATGAAGAAGGCCCCATGTGTGTGCAATGCACAATGTTCAAGTGTACAGATCTGATTTTGGGGATTGCAAGTCTCACATTTTGTTGGGTGGCTTCCAATCTATGGTGATGTGGTTTGTACAAAGCAAGTGTACAAAAGTTTTGCTGCTTCCTCATAATATGTCTGAATGTAGAAGATGAAACAAAGGAGAGAATAATGTTAGTGACAATTGAATCTAAACAGCATAAGGCAAAGCATGGGTATATTTATGATAGAGGAGAGCCAGAAAATGGAAAAAAAAATGAGTTTATGAACCGCAATTTTGCATTGTGGGAGCTGTATGAGCATAAGCAGGCCCGGATTCCCCACAAGGCCACCGAGGCCCGGCCTCGGGGTGGCAGAGCGCAGGGGGGCGGCAGCGGTGTCCTTGTGGGGAAGTTGCCCTCTCTACATTCAGTCCCGCTTTGTACAAGCAGGACTGAATGTAGAGTGAGGCAGACGATTTTTCGTTTACATGTGAAATCGGCGGTGTCGCCGAAATCACAGGACCTGGCCTTGGGGCGGCAGGGAGAGTAAATCCGGCACTGAGCATAAGGTTTCATTCCCCTTCTCAGTCAGGTATGACATACTGCCGACCTCTCCAGGACTAAACAGGTTAATCAGTTTGACTTTAGGCTGCAGACTTACCAGGAGTAAGACTTATGGCAGGAATATTTGAAGTTACACTGCTTCCCCAGGGAGAGGATTAGGAATAATATTAGCCAGGCTGCTGTACTGGGTTTGGCAGCATTTGTCTGGGTCAATGGAACATTTCCTTTACTCACCAGCCGAACAGGATTAACAAAGCAGTGTTATCACTGCAGATAGAGATAAATCTGTTCTGACACTGATGAAAAATAACAGATGATGCAACTGAGGAAAGAGCAGACTTTGGGCACTAAAACATCTCAGCACATGTCCTGTGTGCAAGACCACCACTAGATGCTAGCCATGCAAATAAACTTGTGGAAGATGGTAATGTATGCGAGTTAAAGCAGGTGATAATTTCTAGTTACTTTAAGAACATGGGCAAAATGATTATGGAGCACATATTCACCATGAAGTTCAAACCCAGGGATGCTCTTGGTACACAGACATACTTTACTATGAGCATGCTTGTTGATTTTAAAGGCACATACCCTGAAATGTGCACAGGAATCACAGCTGTTCTGCTGAGCAGTTTACTTTTTTCATTCAGACATTGCCACTATACTTTTCTATATTGGAGTCAACTCAATAACATTCTGTTTGGCCAAGGATGTGGTTGGATAGTGAACAAAGAGCAACTCACTGCTGAGGTCATATAGTCACAGCACCGCGCAACGCAGTAATGCCTGATTGGCTTCCAGTGCTTCCCTTTTCTCTCCCAGTATATGAACCATGTTACCGGAAGCTAGCAAAACACATATTTAGGTACTGTGTGAAAAGTAAATTGAGAATTATATTGAATACATAACTGGATTAAACGGGGGTGAAGGGGGTAATGTTTATATCTGCCTGCACCTTAATTGCATCAGAAATAGTCTGACAAGTGTCCTATTTGCACTTTGACAACTAGAAGCTATTGCTCATAATTGAAACTTTGCATATGCTACTGATTCTCAATCTGTGCACACCGATTAATAACTGATTTTGAATATTCAGCACATGTTCATTTGGTGTCATTACCAAATAAGTGATAGTTATGTGCATATAACTTCATTTTTTACATGTTTGCTGGTCATTTTTTGTCTTAATTTAAGTTCTTTATCATTGCAGAGGTGTAGACTTTACTATATGCTTTATTATGACAAAAGCTGTAGATTCAATTACAAAAGTTCAGTGCCTGAGTGTAAAGAAACCCTAATGTATTTTCCAATTAAGACTGCAGTGACACAATTGGCTAATTATCTTTTTATGACATTGTTCTTATATCTGTCTCTCTTGCAGTATGTACCGGAACAGAAAACAAACTGAGCTCCCTCTCGGACTTGGATCAGCAGTACAAGGCCCTGCGCAAGTACTATGAGAATTGTGAAGTGGTCATGGGAAACCTAGAGATCACCAGCATTGAACATGGGCGGAACCTCAGTTTTTTAAGGGTAAGTTTAGAAACGAAATGTTTCTTTTTACTATTGTGTGTCTGTGCATGAACCAGTTTATAGGCTGTATGGTTTTTATTCTCTGAGTGGTTTATACTCTACCTGGTATGTATCAATGCCCAATCAGATAACATTTTATCAGGGAGGGTATTATTTGGTCAAATGTGCATCTCAATAGGAAATACAGAGTTAATGGTGATCATGGGGGTATTGAAGGCAAAGACGGTGCTAATTATATACCAGTAGTAGAAGAGGCACAGGGGGAGCTCATCATACACCAGTGGGAAAACAAGCAGAGTGGGAACGGACCATACACCAATTGGAGAAGGGCTGAGAGGGTGCAGATAATTCACCAGTGGGAGAAGGACAGAGAGGCTGCTGATTATACAAGTGGGAGAAGGATAGATAGGAAGCTGATCACACAACAGTAGGAGAAGGAGCAGAGAGGGAGATGATCATACACCATTGGGATATGGTAAGAGAGGGTGCTGATAATACAGCAGTGGGGGAAGAGCAGCAAGGGAGCTGATTATATACCAGAGGGAGAACGGTAGAGAGGGAGCTGATCATACAGAAGTGGGAGAAGGGCTTAGAGGGAATGATCATACATGGAAGGAAGAAGGGCAGAGAGGGAGCTGATCATACACCAGCGAGTGAAGGGCAGAGAGGGTGTTGATCATACACCAGAGAGAAAAGGAGCCGAGAGGGAGCTGATCATATAGCAGTGGGAGAAGGGCAGAGAAGGAGCTGATCATACAGGACTGGGAGAAGGGCAGAGAGGGAGCTGATCATACAGCAGTGGGAGTAGGGCAGAGAAGGAGCGGATCATACAGGATTGGGAGAAGGGCAGAGAAGGAGCTGATCACACAGCAGTGGGAAAAGGGCAGAGAGGGAACTGATCATACAGGACTGGGAGAAGGGCAGAGAGGGAGCTGATCATACAGGATTGGGAGAAGGGCAGAGAGGGAGCTGATCATACAGCAGTGGGAGTAGGGCAGAGAAGGAGCGGATCATACAGGATTGGGAGAAGGGCAGAGAAGGAGCTGATCACACAGCAGTGGGAAAAGGGCAGAGAGGGAACTGATCATACAGGACTGGGAGAAGGGCAGAGAGGGAGCTGATCATACATCAGAGGGAAAAGGAGCAGAGAGGGAGCTGATAATCCACCAGTGGGAGAAAGGCGGAGAGGGTGCTAAACATGCCCCAGTGGGATAATGGGCCATTGGGGCATAACAAGCACAGAGATGCAGAAATGTAGAGTAAGAGCTGACTGGAGATAAAAGGAGAGGAAGCAGAGTGTAAGCTGATCAAATACCAGAGAGAGTGCAAGAAAAGACAGAAAGTAGATGATCATGAATTGGGGGAAAGAGAGAAGTTAGAACATGAGCTGATTAATGACAGGGGATAGTAGCAAGGTAGTGGGGTCTGCTTATGGACAGAAGACAGAGGAGTGAGTACAGCTGTCATTGCATAGTAATAATGCATGTACTATCTGTTGGGAAAGAAAGCAGTGAAGGGTTATGGAGTAACTCTGTCACCAGACTATTAATTTGAATACAAATCTTCCCACATGTGCAGTAAAGGTATTTTATGCATGTTATTCACCTATAAAAGCCTCCCTTGTGTAGATATTCATTAGCCTTGGGAGTGCTGTTGGGTGTCACCATCTTGGATATCATGTCCGCAGCCCCAGCAGACTCTCATATGACACTGTATAGTATACCCCTTTACTCCTACCCCAGGCTGCTAAATACAAGGTTATGTAGTGAGGTGAGGGCACTGCTTTTATCTGACAGTTTTTAAGTTGGTGATAAGGTCTCTTTAAAGGTCAGGACATATTCCACTTGGAACAACGCAGGTGACATAGAGGGGACTAAAATAATTGTCATGGTTGTACACAATGCACAATGCATTAAATTATAAGAAGCATTGCATAAGCATATACATCATCATGTACTGTATATAAAGGATTATATTTCTCTTAAAGAAATGTTTGGCTACTGTGAAGGGATATATATATA